CAAATAGTCAACTACAACTAAATCAATTTAGGATTAAATCTGTAGTCCACACAAAGATTCCTCCCCCTTTTGTTTATTTATGTATTTTATCATTATTTTTTACATTATTTTTTATTGCCTTTACACATGTAGTCTATATGTGCAGATGGATTTATTTATATATATTGTTTATGTGTAACTTATGTGTAACTTAATGTTTTGTATTATCATTTTCTTTCCCTTAGCTTTAAATAAAAAAAAAATCTCATGAGTTGTACCTTAGTGTTTCCTTAAAGTTCAACATTAGGGGAAATACGTTTAGTCTCTTTCTTTGTGGGAGAAGATTGATACCACACTTATGTTTTAAGTTAAATTTGGCAGGAGACAATTAGCCTAGCTTAGCATTAAGGCTGCAACCAATAGTAACACAAAACATATTGCCCCTAAAAACCATAAATTGTTGTTTTTATATTAAACAAACAAGAGACGGTGTTAATCAGTGGGATTTAAGGATGTTTGTAGGTGTGTTCCAGTCTTATGCTAAGCTAAGCTAATAACCATCATACTTAACACACAGTAATGACAGTTATATCAACTGCAGTTATTTAAATTTCAGGTAGTTGTAATGTAGCATTAAAGGTAAGTGAAAAACAAGCTGTTAGCACTCAGTTAGCTCACAGTAGCTAAGAACATGATCAACCAGGAATAATTGCCAACAACGCTAACGAACTGTTTGTTTCCCCAAAGCAAGTTCAGGAAAAGGGCGGCAAAAAAAAAAAAGCGTAACAGCCATTTAATCCATGTCTTTGATGATTTTGGTGAATTTTATTTACAACCGATCCAGTGACAAAACTTCTGACGTGAAGCCTTCTTCAAAGCCTGATGCTAATCTTGTTCCCGAACTTGTTTTAGGGGGGAAAAACATAGCGGTTCTTTGTTTCTCTGAGGCAGAGCGCTAAACTGAAATATAATGTAGTACACTTGTTTCCTCTTATAAACTCAATGCCTGCAAGCAGTTTTTTAGGATAACCAGGGGACATGTACAATATAACAACACATTGTTCAATTTTAATTAGATGTTTGAATCTATGTAATTGGGGGTTTTGACACAGTTTCATGAACACACTGAGACTTGCAATGGAGCCTGTTAGAATTAGATGAAAATGCATTTTCTTCACTAGATAAAGGTAAAGCGTCAAACTGTCCATTCATAGCCTGCCATGTAAAAGCCTGTAAGGGATTTACATCTACAGTAGCAAGAACAAAGTAATTACCTGCATTTATATGTAAATTTGTATTGAAATATGGTCAGATCTTCTTCTAAAATGTACAATAATGAATAAACACAATCTATTTTACTAATAACACAAATTATTTTATTGTTCTTGTCCATACTGAATGAAAAAAAAATTGAGTTTGCTCCTGATGTAAATCAGAGATAAAATAGTTGATTTGCATAAAACTGAAAGGGTTCCAGAGTCATCTCAAAGAGTTTAGATATTCATCATTCATCTGTCCACACTGACACAAATCGTCTGTAAATGGAGTCGGTTTGGTTCTGTGGCCACTCTCAGTAGAAGTGGGCGTCCAGCTCAGATGAAAGCACAAATCAGAATAATCAGTGAGGTAAAGAAGAAGCCCAGAGTAACAACCAAAAGCCTAAAGGAATCAGTGGAGCTGGTTAGAATCTCTGTTCACAAGTCTAACATATGCAAATCATGGTGCATGGCGTCCCGACTCTCCAAGAAAACATCACTGTGCCCCTGAAGTTTACTGAAGAGCTGCTGGGAAATTTTTTTGTGAACTGATGAAACAAAGATTGAATTGTTTGGGAGGAGCATACAGCTCCTATGTATGTTGATAAAAGACACTGTATACCAACATGAGAACATCATTGAGGGAAAAATGGATTTCCAAGTTTATCAAGGCGCCTTATATCATTATATCATCCTTTAAATCTAAACTGAAAACATCACTTTATAGTCGTGCCTTCCAGTTGTCTGGTTTGCTGTTCTTAATTAACCATTTAATTTGACTTTTATTCCTTTTATTGGTTTTAGATATCTTATTTTAATTGGACTATTTATAATTTTTTAATCACGTTTTATTCCTACATTTTAGTAGTTTTATTTTACACACCTTTTTACTGATCGGTTGTTAGTCTTAATTATTTTATTTTCTCAATGGTTTTTAATTCATACGTTTATGTATCATTTATGTGTTTTTAATTTGTGTTTAATGTTTTATCTTCACACTTCCACATAGTTTTTGTGGTTGTTAGTTTAAACACACTTGTGTTTATCAGTACTTGTGACTTAGATGATGATCAGGTAATTTCATTGGGTTTTCTTACTTTTATTTTGCCACTGTATCCAACCAACCTATCAGAGGGAAGAGACATGGGATGCATGAGAAAGAAAATCCCTGACATGAATCAGCCCTTTAATGAAGCTGAATGAATATGACAAAACACAAAGAGCAGCAAACCAGACACACACACACACACACACACACACACACACACACACACACACACACACACATGTATATACAGAGGACACAAAGACAGCTCGAAACAAAGAGGCTTCTCTCTGAAGGACTCCACTGTACTCTCTGCATGAGTTTGAGTGTGTGTGTGTGTGTGTGTGTGTGTGTGTGTGTGTGTGTGTGTGTGTGTGTGTGTGTGTGTGTGTGTGTGTGTGTGTTGCTCATATAATCAAATGGACAGTGTGGTATGTGCATGTATAGGCTGCACACACACACAAACTCTTTTTGTATAAAGACCTGAGACTGGAATGTGGCCAGTATAAAATGGCCGTGGCCCCTGTCTGCCCTCCTTGGGCCTCTTTTTTCTCTCTCTTCTCCCTCCTCCTTTTTTTTGCATTTTCTTCCTCTCTTTTCCTTCTCTTTCCTCTTCCTGTTTCTCATCTCTCATTCCTCTCGCGTTTCTACATTCATTTCAGATTTCTGCCCTCGGGACAGAGATCATCCGTTGTCAGATAAAGGCAGAGGAGACAGATTGCATCACTTCAACCCCAGGCCTTTAATCTCCTCAGTAACCAGAGATGTTGTTACCAGAGGCATGAAATTATAATGATTCTCCACCAGCATCAACGCACTCATGTGATCAAAACCTTTTAAAAGGTAGAAATGATAACTAGAAGAGACGCTGGGAGAGCAAACCTCCACAGTGCTTCATACAGCACTTCTTTCTACAGGAGCCCATCAGCCTTATCATTTCTCTGCAACCTTTTTACTACTGTGAAACTCTGACCCATTAGAGCCGGATGTGATCATGTCCTGCTGAAACGTGTCAAAACCGGTAAAGGCCGTCTGACAGCCAAAGCTCAGACTCAGTCAGAACAGCTGGGGAGAAGAAAGAGAAGTTTTGTTTGAGGAGAAAGAGGGACAGTGTGGGTGGTCGTGCACTGCTGCTTGTTTGTTGTTATTTACAGATAGCAGAGCAGGGAAGCAGGTGGGAATAACTGACAGCTTGTATTTCATCTGTGATCCTCTCACTTTTTTGGGGGGGTTTGTACATTTGTCAGACAAACACAAAGGGAAGTGTAAAAAAAAATCAACCCAGAAGCAGCTAGCAGCGAGCTACCTAACCTCAACCTGACGCACCAGATGGTTTGTCACACAGAACCATGTGGGAAGGCGTCGCCGGGAAACTGTTTGGAAAACACTTGGCATGTGATTGGATGAGCCGTCTGTCTGACGTAGTGGGAGAACGCCAAAGAGGAAACGCGACACGCCAAGCCGCGGTGTGAGCGAATAGCTCGGAGCCTGGCGAGATGGATCCTCACTTGCTATAAAGGCCAGCTGCTTCACAAGGTTAATGGAAACCAAAAAGTCATTGATAGAAAGCAGACAGGCCCGCTGTTGAAGCTGTGAACACATCCCACTGATGTTCGTGGGCAGCTCTGTGTGTCTGTATTTGAGGTGTGGGAGACCCTGGTATTTAAACCTCTGTGGGGTCTGCAGCCACGTCTTCTTGGATAATTGTCATTCAGGATCAATAGAAACTGTGCCAGATGGTTGTGACTGGTCGTCCCGATGGTACATAAAAAATAATTATCTTGCGAGGTGTTTCATGATTTACAAAGCTAAAAGCCATTAACTGTTGCTTTGGTTTATCAGAAGGAAGCTACCGTACTCAGGTGATCAGGGTTTATTCATTTAACATTAAATTTGAGGACCTGTGGAGGAGTCTGTGTTTTACAGTTGCAGATGTATCACATGTGGTGTTTTTAAAGGCTTACTCTGATGTTTTTAGGCTCAATAATTGAATTAAATTAAAATAGAATTAAGGGATTTAAAGGATTACGGGATTCTTCACCAGCAGTATAATCATCGGTGTCTGGTCAGGCATTTCGTAGGAGGAGTAGACTTGTGTTGGGGTAATTAGGACTTTACAGTCTCAGGCTTGTGTGAGACATCCACACAGTCACAGGAATAATTGGTCTAGTTTCTAGTCTTCTGTTAATGCAGCCTGCACTGATGTGGAGTTTTCAGGGTGATTCATGTCTGAGGTCTGACAAAGTTTCAGCAGAGCTCAGCTGGTTGTGGCACGGTGTCATCATGTCGCTGCTAAGCTGCTCACTTCCAGCTCCATGTGCCATCATCAGCACAACGTCTGTACTGGCTGCAGCAGCTCCAACACACACACACACACACACACACACACACACACTTTATTCTTGTATCTTTCATTAGTCAAATTTATGTTGATTGGTAAAATTAACTTTATGTTTTAGGTTTTGTTTATGTTTATATTCCTGCACATTGTAGCTAAATTCTAAAAATGTTACAACTTTTTCTGAAAAATCATAAAATTACAACTTATTTTTTAAAACATTACTTTTTTAATCAAAATATTTCGATTTTATATTGATTTTCAAATATAATAAAAAAACAGGTCAGCTGTGCTTTAATAATTTAGTAATTTAATAGCTTATAAATTGTGCATTGCAGTTTTTTCATGATTATTAATCCGAATGTTGTTGATATTGTTTCAGGCGATGGAGAGCAAGCTGCTGGTTGGCGGGAAGAACATCATCGATCACACCAACGAGCAGCAGAAGATGCTGGAGATGAAGCGGCATGAGATCGCTGAGCAGGTAAACCTGTGTGTTTCTGTGTGTGTGTGTGTGTGTGTGTGTGTGTGTGTGTGTGTATTCTGATCCCACGTATGATCTTTGCTGATGTAGAGAAAGGTGACGTTTTAATCGTTGCTTTCAGACGCGTAGGGAGAGGGAGATGCAGCAGCAGATGTTTGTCCAGGACGAGGAGACGCTGGAGCTGAGAGAGACTTTCACTTCCCTGCAACAGGAAGTGGAGGCCAAGACCAAGAAACTCAAGAAGGTAAAATATCTGCGCCGATACTTTATGTAACATGCAGAAAAGAATCACACGTGAATACAATCCAAATACAGCAGTATCTATATGTTTTTGCACACACACACAAACACACACACACCTTCCTTTTTGTTCCTAATGTGAGTATATCCCTCTTTCACCCCTGAACCCCTGAACCTTGACCTGGACCCTAATGACCCCCCTGCCTCGGACACATGCTCCGTCCGGACACACACTTAAATCTCAGTACCTCAAGGTTTGTCCTGCCGTCCCCTCCTCTTTCCCTGGACCTTTCCCTCCCTCCGTCTGTCTTGATCACTCTCTGTCCATGCTTTCCACCCTAACACTCTCCCTTTGGTCAAATGGCTCAAGAACTCCCAGTAACTCACCCCTAAATCCTTCAGTGCAAACCCCTAAAACCACGCTCCGACCCCCTTCCCTGCTCCTCTCACTTCCCCAATCCGCTGCACTGGCCGAGCCAGCAGGACTAACCCCCGAACAACCCACTGTGTGAATGTAGATGACAATGTGACTAATGATCCTGCGTTGATTTTTGTTCCCCTGGTGGCGTTTAACGCGACATGTGTGCTTCCCACCCTTCTCTCACTGCATGGTGTTGTCTCTCTGAGGAAAAGAAGGAGAATGAAATGTGGAGTTTTTCCCACTGTGCATTTACAGCTCCGGGAGCAGCCTGTGACGCTCAGACCGCTCAGACTCTTAGGTTTAGCTTTGTTGGCTGAGAAAAGCTGGTTACTGATGAACTAATGCAGCAGCCAATCAGATTTCTACACGTCCTCGTTTTCCCTTCAAAATTTATGAGCTAATCAGGAATGTGCAAAATGAAGCAGAGGTTGATAATAGCTACTGAGTACTTTTTCAGCTGGCTTCATAGTGGTGCATTAAGTAGTCACAGCGTAGCAGCAGCAGGGCTGCCAGCTCTCAGGCTTTTGGCATGAGGCGCCTGCTTTCAGGCTCTGTCTCTCGCTTCCACGTCGATACTGGTGTTCTGTTTGTTGACTTTGACTGTTTATATAAAGGATATTTTCCTCTGAGTTTAATTAGTCAGCACACAGCAGCAGGAACAACACGTGCATCTTCAAATTGGGAGAGATGTGCGTTTTTTTCCCCAGGTGGCATTTTTCATTTTTTATTATTTAGATCTCAAGACGCAAGTAGGCAAGATCAATTGTTGTTCTGTGTTTTTCTACACACATCATCTTTTTCTTTTCTTTTTTTCTTTTTTTTTACTGTGAAATTATTTGGAGTAAAGCAGCTAGTCCTGAGCTCCATCACATCTACCGGGACATTTTTCCTGGGGCTGTTTGCTGAGTTTGTTGAAATGAAGACAACAATGAGCAGGTTAAAAGAAAAGCCCAATAATCATCTTCAGTAACACACATTCAGAGAAAGCCGTTACACTGCAAAACCTGCGCTTGCCACGATCACCGCCTCTTTCACAAACACTGCTATTGCACAGATCTCCTGAATCAAACAATGTAAGCACAGGCGTTGTAAAAAATAAAAGAGAGTCTGATTAGAAATGATACAGGTGTGACTTTAGATATGAGCTTTGCTTAAAGTATCATTTTTTTATTACAATAAAAATAAAAATCACCTTCTCAGATGTAATGCTTGTAGAATCGAATGTAAATCACAGTCTGAACATAATGAAAGACTGAACCAGAGACTTCCTTTAGTCCATCAGAGAAGCTTTTATATCCTTGTACATTGTTCATAGTTTTGGATTGATTGAGCCACATTTCGCCCTTGTTTTGAAATATTGTGTTTGTGAACTGTGTAATTTCAACAATAAATCCAATCAGTTTGGGGGTTTTTTTTGTGCTATAAAAAGTTTGCGACCAGCTGCTCCTTATTGATCTCATTTTCCTTCAGAGCTTCACACTCAAGCTGCATGAACATTTCCTTGAACTGCAGTGACATTTTAAAGGCCAGACCAGGGCTAAAGTCAGGATTAACCTACTTGTGTGAAAACCCCATACAGTCAAAGTCAAATAGTGAGCAGTGTGAAAGCTCAGGAGGAGCGCCGGAGGAAAGAGGAGGAATGAGCTGGAAGGAGGGAGGGCTGCCATGTTGCTGTGCTGCCCTTCTTTTTTTTTTTTTCCAGACACCAGTGCCTCCAGTGCTGTTGCTATGGGCAACCAAGCTGCAGCGGGCTGGAGACCAGTTCATCTCCTCACCCTCTCTGTTTCTCTCTCTCTCTCTCTCTCTCCTTCTAGCTTTATGCCAAGCTCCAGTGCATCAAAGCCGAGATCCAGGACGTGAACGACGAGCACGTGAGGAGCCGACAGGAGCTGGAGCAAACTCAGAACGAGCTCACCAGAGAGCTCAAGTTCAAGTGAGTCGAGCAAACGTGCTCTGACGGTTCAGCAAACACGGCACACACTCATAGATACGTGATTTGAACGTGTCTCATTTTTCCCAAATGTTGAGATGAGCTGAATAAACCTCAGACATTATCCCAGGAAATCCTACAAAATCAAAGGAATGGCTCCTTAAGTCCTTTATTAGCACTTTGTTTAAAAATAAAAACGTGCTGTGTGTGAATAATTCATGAAGTCACACCTCTGCTCTTCTTATCTGCAACATTGCATTACTAAATCAATGTAATTATAATAACTGAAGGTGAAACATTTTATTTAAGCCCTACAAATTCAAATAAGCATAAGCTCTTCTCTGCCCCTTGATTGTGATTTGACCTGAGATTAAACCTGTGTGGTGATGGGTGTTGTGAACCTGCAGGTATCTGATCATAGAGAACTTCATTCCTCCGGAGGAGAAGAATAAGATCATGAACAGACTGACCTTTGACCCCGAGGAGGATCAGTGGAAGTTTCAGCCTCTTGTTGCTGCTGAAAGGTCAGTGTGGGTAGTCTGATGTGAACATAATGAACTCAAAATGTGATTTGGGTCAGAGCTCGTGACCTTTTGACCTTTGTAACATGCCTGGTCTCTCAGTATCGCTGTGACCCTATAGGCACAAAAATACTTTTGTTAGAAACTGAGATTTTGATATAATATGACCATTAACATTGATTTCTAATTGATTTTTTTCCTCATTGATCCCCTCCTCTTCCTCTATCCAGTAAATCCTCGCAGATGAAGAAAAGGCCGGCATCTGCAGTTGGATACAAACGACCCATCAGCCAGTATGCCAGGGTTGCCATAGCGATGGGAGCTCACTCCAGATACAGGGTAGGTGTATGTGTGTGTGTGTGTGTGTGTGTGTGTGTGTGTTACATGATGTCTGTTGAATGGGATGTTGACAGAAGATTCATGTCCAGTGATGTGAAGTGGATATTAAAGGTGAAACATGATTTTCAGACTCACATGTGCTGAGATTTTTGTTTAGACATAACAAAGGGAATATGCAGCAGCAGTAGGACCTTTTGTGTAGAGAAGAATTTGGAGTCATTGCCACAAATCTGAACTCAGTCAGTGTCAACAGCTGTTGCAGTGATACGGGGATGAATCAGGAGACTGACAATTTATTATTTCGTCAAGGTTGTGTGAAGATTGAGTGCTGTACAAAAGGCCGAGGTTTCAATCATAAAACACAGTTACTGTAAAAACGACTTTTTAGACGAGATTTAAAATTAAAGTTATTGTTAGCTGACATGATGGTAAGTGGAGCCGAGGAGCCAGTCCAGCACAAGCTTGACCTCTTAGCATGATAAGGCGTTAGCAGTGCAGTTATATGCTCCATGAGAGGCTTTGTACTGTATGTGATTAATAAAGTTAAACAACTTGAAGTGTTAGGACAGTTACACAAGACGTTACAATGACAGACGGTGGGAGGATATAGAAGTGTGCATCACATAAAGTAATGAATGGAAGCAAGGCAGCATTCAGTCAGTGTGATCCTGACGACTCACTCACTCTCGTGTATATTTGTGTGCGCAGGCTGAGAACATCATGTTTCTGGAGCTGGACATGACGCCTCCCAGCACCGCCTCACTGGATCGTTCCACGGAGGCCGACCAAAGTCCCTCTGTGGACAGCTCGCCCACCAAGGACAGGGGCGTCCGCAAGTCTCGCTCCTGGTGAGCCCAAACCCCCCCCCCCTCTTACCACAACCTGTCGGGAGCTCAGGAGCCTGATATTATCTTCTAATACGTCCAAATACAAAGAAATTGTAGCAGATGCATATTTTGACCTTATGTTTCTTAATTCAAGTTTAAAATGGTTTGTTGTATTTGTGTTTGTTTTGTTCTTTTGTGCTATTTGTGCTAATTCTATATATTATATATTATAATAAGAAACAGCAGAGCAGAAAAGCCAAATATTTGTTTGTATTTGTTTATTTTTCATCTGTAAAATGTCCCACTCAGTGAAATTTTTTGATCACAATTGTTTAAAATACTAATTTATGGGATGGTTATCATAAGTGTTTATGTTATCTGTTCATGTAAAAACATTAATCTATATATACAGTATATATTCTTCAAGTTCATCCATCATGATTTATATTATCCATTGATGTCAATGTAAAATACAATTCAGGGTGTAGATATACAAATAAGAAGTTATATTGTATGTGGGCCTTTACTGCTCAGCCTGTATCTGACGAGTGTAAAGGGTTTAGAGTCAATGCATCTCTAAATGGGATTATTCAGGATTAGCCACACCCTCTCTAGGCGGTCCTAATCTGATGGTTTATCTCTCATTTGCTCAGAAGCTTCTAATCTCAAATGCTGCTGGATAATCGTATTAACCTGCGTCAAAGTCGCATGTAAAGATTGTATTTTTATTTTTTTTGTATTTCTATCTTAATTTTTTTTCTTCTTCTTTTGCAGGTGTCAGCCCCCGAAACCCATCACTTCCTCCTCTTCTAATGTTTCCTTGGCGGCATGTCACACTGCCACACCCACAGCGGCACAGTGAAGCTTTAGTGAAGAGGATTTTTTTGTTCTATTGTTATTTATTTTATTCCCTCTGCTTCCTCCTCCTCTTTTCCTCTTCCTCTTTTGGCCATTGATCAATTTTGGACGACTTCTCTGTGAGGCCTACAGCTGGGACACAAACACACACCCACCTCTGCTGAATCCTGAGAGGTCATGGACTACCTTAATGGGTAGTTAATGAGGAAATGATCTCATGACAGGAAACAAAATGACCTTATGAACCTCAGAAACTCTGTAAAACATCACCCCCTCCTGTTCTACGGATGTAAAGAGCCACCAGATCCCCTTCTGCCATGCATGTTTGAGACCAAGAGCCTCGGATTATCCTAAAACAACTGGCTGCAGTGCTGCACTGCCCAGACTGGTGTGCGTGTGTGTGTGTGTGTGTGTATGTGTGTGTGTGTGTGTGTGAGTGTGTGTACTGTACATACAGGGCTGTATGATTGCCTGTTTGTGTTTCTAATTGTGACCAATAGAGATCTGGAAGATCACAAACTGCTTGTAGAACTGCTTGAGTCCCCTGTAGAATATCAATCAGTGTAAATATTTCATGTATCTGTTCACGTCTGTGTTGGCTTCTGGAGTTAAGAACGGTAGAAAAATAATGATATAACATATGATGTGTGCTGTTGTGGGTCAGAGAGGTTCCTTGAAGCCTGAATGATGACCTTTGTCTAACATTATTCCACTGTCCGTCCACTCTGTCTAATTTATAAGAAATGCCTTAAAATAATCATGAAAATTAAAATACTGAGGCATGTCACACTTCCAAAATCAATTTGCTGGATTTTTTTTTATTTATACCAGGACAAAGGAAAACACAGGGGAACATTAAAATCTAAAACAAAGTCACTTTAAATGTAGATCCAGTTGAAAACTAAGTGTCCCAGGTAGATTAAACAGAAATCATGGCTATTATGAAATGTATTCTTGGTCATGGAAACTCATTTGCTTTTTCTGGAGCTGGGTGGAGATTAAACTTGAGTAGTTTACTCTGTCATTTGAGGAAGACCATAAGATGTGGTTAAATGCCAATACATGGCCCTTGAGCTGAGATATTTTCAAAACACCACTAATGCTTTACCCTAAATTACCATTTAAGTCACTGGTGAGACCAACTCAACCATGGACTGAACGCAGCCGGTCTTTTTCCTTTTGTTTGACAATTTGCACAAAATATAAAAACAATAGAGTCAGTGGAGAAAACATATGTCTGTTTTGCCTTACAGTGTTTTCTCTGCCTCCACCTCAAAGTTACTTGTGTGTATCAGGACACCTCTTCGTGCATTATCCCTCTGAAAAGGAAGGTTCTGTTTGTTTGTTGTTATTTTAACTATATGTTCATTATTGAGGCTGTAATTTGCAGCGGTGTTGAACTGGACTCCATCATACCAAGACGAGCTTCTAATGTTTTGCTGGCCTCATTTCTAAACATGAAAGCGGAAGAATATGAGAAACATGTCAATATAATGCAGCCCAGTACACCACCACCACTGACTAGTAATAAACATATAGTTGAATTAGCACCTCTCAGAATAATAAAGTGGCCTGGCAGTGTATTTGTAGTAAAGCAAACATTAATTTAACACATACAGTGGCAAGACGAAGTACGTGAACCCTGTGGGATGACATGGGTTTTCTGTATTGATCGGTCATAAAATCTCCAACAGGAGGATTTTGTTTGTTTTTAAGACAAATTCATACATAAACGCAGGTATTTCCAAAGGCTTCACTCACTACTTCTTGCCACTTTAAGTGAGGACTTGCCTCCAGTCGGTCGGTGTAGCCATGTCATTTTCTTTGCTGTGTGGCTTCTGTGAAGTGACGCAGCAAATTAAAACCATTGCTGTAAAATTTAAATTAAGTTAATTCATCGTGGCTGCCGTGGCAAGAAGGTCAGTACAACCTAACCTGCTGACTGAGGGTTGTCTAAGTGAAGCTGAAGGGCGCCAGACTGGCCTGTTGTTTGGAGAGCAGGGTGCAGTTTAGTGTCACAGGGTTCTTTACTTCCTAGAGGTTAAGAGGAGCAGACAGTGAGGAGGTGGGGGGGGGGGGGG